CCCCCCCCCCCCCCCCCCCCCCCACACACACAGTTATTTGGTGCATATTTCTGACATATCATTTCATCAATAAATATTTCAGTGTGCCATCTCTAAAAGATAAGGATTCTTCTTTAAAACAAAATCACGGTACCATTGTCACACCTAAAAAAGCTAATAGTTTCTTAATGTCATCAAGCATCTAGTTATTCACATTTCCCCCATTGTTTCATATTTAGTTTTAAAAAATTGTTTATATGAATCAAAATATTAGTAAGGACCATACTTTGCCGCTAATAGTATGACTTTAAAAAACCTTTAAGTCTATTCTCCATCTTTCCCCCCTTATTTATTTTTTAAGAAACCAGGTCATTTATTCTGGAGAGTTTCTCAAAGTCTGAGTTTTGCTGAGCTGCTTCTGGTGTAATTTAGTGTGTTCCTCACCTCTGTATTTCTGGTAATTTGTTAGTTAGAGACAATCAGATTTAGGTTGAATTATTTTGGTAAAACTAATTCATAGTTTTTTTTGTGATGTTAGTAACTAATAATGATCATTGTCTAGACCAGTGTTGCTCAAACTTGGCACGATTGACCTTTTGGGCTGGGTAATTCTTTATTGTAGAGAGCTGTCCTATGCATTGTAGGATGTTTAGCAGCATCTCTGGCCTCCACCCACTGGATGCCAGTAGCAACTCCCCCAATTGTGACAACCAAAAATGTCTCTAGACAATTGCCAATTGTCCCCCCTGGGGATGAGGGTGGGGGGACAAAATGGCCCTGATTGAGAACCACTGATCTAGGTTCATTAATATAGTAGTTAGAACATAATATTCTCATTCTGTCCTTCCTTGTTAGATAGAATAAATACCCCTACAAAGGGAAACCTTTTCACATTAACTATTTATTCTCTAGAGCTATATTTCGTGTAAAAAAAGCAAGAAAAATGCTTGTTTCCTTTTTATTTTATCAGCTTTTAAAGTAATGAGTTGGTTACCTAAGCATCCTCTGAAAGAAACCAGTGAAGTTTTTTTTATTACTATTATGAACCCATAATTTAACACATACAGTATATGATGTGTTTCAATCATTGGCAGTTTTTAAACATTTTGATGCTTAAATTATCCTATTTTGGC